GACAAATGACAAAATGACCGACACAAATAAAAAACTAACAAAAAACAACAATAACGACAAAACTCATACCGTTCAACCTCGCTTTTATGATTTTCCATCCGACTGTCGTAGACGAGACATGCTCTGTGAAGAGCAAGAAAAATGCAAAGTTTGGTGCATTGGACAGAGTATGCCATCAGAAACTAAAACGGATGCCCAAGTTTACTTTAGCCATGATATTGTCAAAATAAACCTATAGCCTAGAAGAAACTCTGCAGTTTGCTTTGGAGACAAACAGGAGTTATCATGAAACACAACAAATAATATAACGGCGATCTTTACTACTTAGAATGGATGCGTGGAACCAGCACAATCACATATTCCTTGCCTTTGATGATCTGCCACCTCGGTAAAAAAGCAGATCTTTCTGAGATCAGCAAGTTTTTTATTCGCAGTAGCAATTTCATCTTCACTTCGACCCCAGGGCTCTATGTCAGTAGTAGGTACCATTACTGTTTTCCTAGAAGACATTTTGTCTATGACGTTTAATCAATACATTTCCAAGAACGACACGGAATTATACGATTACCAAGTATTAGTACTGAAACAAGACATATCCTTGAGAGGCAATGCTTGTTCAATAGGAAAGATGGCAAGGCTTTTCCACTTTGTTCTCAAAACAGAGGCACACTTCCTTATTGCCTCTTTGGTACTAAGAAAAGCTGAGCTTGAGGAAAACAGCTTGATTACATACCCTGACAAAACCGCTTTAAGGGGCTCGAGTGGAGGCAATGGATCACCCAAAAGGGCAGATATCGTATGCGCCACGCCATCACTGAGAGATTGCACGTTATAACCGCCCTAGAGAACAAGATGAATCAAGATTCAGGACAAAAATAAATTTGAAGGCAGAAAAGAGTAGGGAAATAGTTGTTCCGTCCTCACCTCTAATGCAACAATCACCTTTCCATCTGCCAAAACCATAAGACGGTTGGTTAAGTGAGCGAAAACGGCCGGCGACAGGGAAAAACACCCCTACACAAGAGGAAAGGTTATATAAAGCTGTACTTAAAAAATTGAGTAAAAAGTTAATTATACGGTGCGTACGTAGGGACAACCAAGGGCACAGTCGTAGCCGGCAGAAACGATTACGAGATCAGGACCAAACTAGAGAGGGAAACCCACATTAATCGAAATTCGCAGATGATAGGAGTATTTAAGAAAGTAATTACCTCATATGCGATGGGCATCAGAAGGATGTTGAAAATAGTTAAATAGTCAATGTCTGAGTAGTCTATCTGAAAGATGAAATGAGGAAAATTTATAGTGCTGCACATTGAACTAAGCATGCAACACAGAATCATGATATTCACAAAGAAAATCTACCCCATCAAGAGGAACATTGATGTTGTATCCATAACTGGGTCCTTGACCAACAAAATCGTAGTCTGATTCACGCAAGGAAGGCCAGTAGTTTCCTTGATCATAACGATGAATAGAAAAGTAGAGGACCCTAAACCAAATCACAGAACATAAAATGGGGTTAGAAAGAGTCTTTTTAATTTTCGCACCATGAAAACAGCACAGTGTAATCTTTCGCTAACTATTTGTGTCCATCACCTAGGGATTCACGCAAATGAGTAGTAGCAATATCAGTTTTCCAACATCAGGGCATGGAGAGATTACAAATAACAAATGCATGCCAAGTAGTTGTAAAATAGTAGTTTGCAAGTGAACTACGAGATAAAAATTGTACCAAAAAACCGAAAAAATAATGACAATACTACACCTTGGATCATCATAGAAGGCATACTGAATTGCTTGACCATGATGGATGTCCCAGTCAACGATTAGGATTCTGTTCAACAGATGGTTTGAGGTCATTTTGAAATGACATGAATAGTAGTAAACTGACTAGATACGGGGCTCAAACAATCCATCCATGAATTAAAGAATTGGAAGAGGAAGAAAATTCGGAATTAACCTATTTGCCTCATGCTGGTGCAATGCATGCTTGGCCGCAATTTCAACATTATTAAAAACACAGTAACCACAGGGTTCATCTTCCATTGCGTGATGACCAGGTGGCCTGAATGATGATCAATTAGTAGCGGTAAGCGAACCTACCTCACCAAGCAGAATGCGTTTCGTGTATCTCCTCGTGTTACAACGTCAACCGCGTGGGTCAAAGCACCAACAGCCAAACGGGCTGCAGTGTAGGTAGCCTAAAAGCACAATCGATGAGAGAGCCAGACTAACTTCGTTAAAGGAGGCACTATCAAACCTTTTCACGTACTCAGACCTAGACTCATCACTCATTGCAGCAGTGGCAGCCACATCATCAATATAACTTTGTGTGTGTGCCAAACGTAAAAGTTCATCATTTACAGGATGTGGCTAAAGGCGCAACATCTTCAGTAAAACATCTAATACTTACCTGCATTAGAAGACAACGATCAACCAAACCAAATTCGCAGCATTGTTGATAAGTGATTTTCAATCTGTCTGGACATTCAGGGCAGTTCTCATGGAGCGAATCAGCGTGATTAAGCATATCAGTATGATAAAACAATGCAGTGCTACACACAAACAATGTTAGTGAGAATGGATAGCTTTACCGTCGATTTGACCCAAAACGCCTTTGAAAAATCTACACAGAGCAAGATTAAAGCAACTGCTTAAACATACACTGCTTATTCCCATACCAGCAAATACAACCTGCACATCTTCGTCCCCGAAAGGAGTTCGTTGGCGACCACGCCTGCGTTCTCGTTGAGTAATCTTTCAGAGCGAAACGGAACACAATCAAGTGACAAAGTAATGGCTCCCAATATAAGTCGATTTAACGCAATTTTTGAGATTATCGTAAAGTTGACAGCAGATATGAGCCGGTTACAAAATGAAGGAGCACAATTTGTCTTATGAGTCTTGGGTAAACAAGCAAAAGTAATCCAATGAGTCAGAGACAGGGACTATAGGTGAATAAAAGGGGAAAAATCATATCAGATCATGCACTATGTGCGTAGATTCAGATCATAAGCCAGCAACAAATCGCGTCACAACAAAAGTATCAATCATCAAGAGCTTACCTGAGTAATTCGATCATTTTGAAGGCTCATTTAAAGCAACACATTAAATCCAAGAGAACTTTTCAAAACTCCGCGTAAGTCGTTAACAGGATCTTTGATCCTATAGGATACTTCGTATGGCCTCTCAATAGTTCTAAAGTTAGAAACAAATCCTTAACCATACCAAAAAGCAATGTAACAAAGTGACAAAATAACTAAATGTTAGATATGATTCATGTAATAATCAGCCTTTCATAAGTTCTGCCCTAACTTTGTAACTTAAGAGGTTTGATGTTGTACCTCAGACCTACTTCTTTCTGCAACATGTTTGGTTGTGTAAAAGTTTTGTTTAAGTTAAAAAAACACAACTTATCCTGGGCAAGCAACGGCTTAGTTTTAGCCTGTAACGCTTTTACAAGCGCTCATTGAATATATTTTATCATTCCAACTGTAACTGAAGTTGAGGGTAATGCTCTCATTGTAAGGAACTTACATATAATACGAGATATATGTTGGTCCTTTAAATTACATTAACAGAATGTGATTACGTGTTTAGAAACTAGTTCTCCTGCATTTATTCTGTGGTCTTTGAAATCTTCGGCACATAAACAATCAACCCACTTTTGGCTTTACTTCAGCCAACGTAAGGAGGTTTACCGAAGATTGATAGCAAATTTAGCAGCAGTGTCAAGGTAAGGACGACTTTCTGTCCTTCAGCACACAGTAATGGAGTAATATTAGCGCGTGCACCATTCATACGCATACACTATCCAATTGATGGGTGGCCAAACCCACGCCATACTCACAGTTGCACAGCTACAAGATTACTGGCATACAGATGCCGCTAAATGTTTTCAAACGTCTAATTACCACTGAAGGCTTGATGACGCTCCAGCTATGCGTCAGCACACAAGCTATTACGTGTGTACGTATTACGTGGTTGCTAATATTAGGATCTTGGACGGCGTAACTCTATGATAAACATTTAGTGCTACACATTTCTGTTTAATATGCACCGACTAACCTGAGACTTCATTCCTGAGCATCGCCTTATGAACGCGGTCATGCTGCCTCAAACTCCACCTTAAGGTAGAGTAAATTAATTTCGACAGT